AGACTGGATATTATTTTTATAGTCTAAATAAATCCCATACATTTAAAGATTCTCTCCCATACTATATAAATGTCAGTTTTAAACTGGATTACCAAGATTTGTTCTTCTGATTTGTCTCTTTTCATTGACAATTTTCTATGATATATTGTGCAGCAATCAGCATCATGATAAAAAACTTGCCAAGCACACAAATGTTTGACCCGCAACCAAATAATCTTCTGGCAACCAATAAAAAGTTATGATTATATGATAAATATTGCAAATACTTCACTTCATGTTTTCTTTTTCTTTTGATAAGACATGTATTAATCATTTAGTTCCATATAAATGTACTGTGGGGTTATCTATCGTTTCATGACATTTTTTAAACAAGAACTGTAGGAGGACAGTATTGGCTCGACTATTCGGAAGGTTGTCACAAGGGTGATTTATTGAGTATAATAATACTAATTACCTATGAATACATAAAATCGACAGAAAAGGTACAAAGGCTTGTTATTAACTTAATTAAGATGTTTTATCAAGTAAATCACTGCTTTATTATTTTTTTATGAATGCATAAAATTGTCCCAAAAAAGGCACAAACCCTTCAGTAGTTATGGAGATAACAGCTTACAAGCAAAACTTTACCATGAATTTCTAAGTTGAAAAAGGGGAGAAAAATCAGCCTAATGCAAGATAGACTTTACAAAAAACTTTAACCAAAATTAAGTTTTTTGTAAAGTCTAAGTTAAACTAGAACTCCGCGAGTCGGATGTGTCGCCTTGTGAACAATGTAGTTTAGGGGAAATGGCCAGGACAAAAATGAAATATGAAAAATAACAAAGGGCAATAACTAAAAAAATAATATGTGCAGAGCAGCATTTCTGTATACTGCACTTCTTATCAATAAGATCTATCATTCTATAATGTTTCAAGTCCATAGCTTTCATACTTGAGGAGAAATGACCAGGACAAAAATAAAGTAAGAAAATCAACAAAGGGCAATTACTCAAAAATAAGAAATGCAGAGTAACAGTTCTTATGCACTGCACTTCTTTTTAATGAGATCTATCATCCTATGAAGTTTCAAGTCCATAACTTTTATACTTTCGGAGAAATGGCCTGGACAAAAATTAAGTATGAAAATTAACAAAGGGCCATAACTCAAAAATTAAGAAATACAAAGTACCGATTCTTGTGCACTGCACTTCTTAATAATGAGATCTATCATCCTATGAAGTTTCAAGTCCATAGCTTTTATACTTAAGGAGAAATGGCCCGGACAAAATTAAACAAGAGGGCCATGATGGCCCTGAGGTCGCTCACCTGTATATAGCCCCTCCACCCCCCCACCGGGGCCAATTTTTACCCTAGGGCTTTTATTTGTTTATTTGAACAGACTTGGTAGACACCCATAAGAAGATGTTTCATGCAAAACATCTAAGTTCTAGCTCATTGGGTTTTTTAAAAGAAGTTTTTTTATGTTTTTACTATACACATATAGTTAAAAACAATGACACCCCTCGGGCAGGGCCAGTTTTGACCCCAGGGCTTTTATTTGAACAAACTTTGTAGATATTTACTTAAAGATGTTTCATGCTTAATATCTAAACTCTAGCTATTTGGTTTTTTTCAAAGAAGATTTTTAAGTTTTTGCTATACACATATAAGGAAAATCAATGACCCCCGGGGCGGGGCCAGTTTTGACCCCGGGGCTTTTATTTGAACATACTTGGTAGACACCCATTAGAACATGTATCATGCTAAATATCTTAGCTCTAGCTCTTTGGGTTCTTTAAAAGAAGATTTTTTAAGTTTTTACTTTATGCATATAGGGAAAATCAATGACCCCCTGGGGCGGGGCCAATTTTGACCCCCAGGGCTTTTATTTGAACAAACTTGGTAGACATTTACTAGAAGATGTTTCATGCCAAATATCTAAGCTCTAGCTCTTACGGTTCTTTAAAAGAAGATTTTTTTAAGTTTTTACTATATGCATATAGGGAAAATCAATGACCCCCCGGGGCGAGGCCAATTTTGACCCCAGGGCTTTTATTTGAACAAACTTGGTAGACATTCACTAGAAGATGTTTCATGCCAAATATCTGAGCTCTAGCTCTTTGGGTTCTTTAAAAGAAGATTTTTTAAGTTTTTACTTTATGCATATAGGGAAAATCAATGACCCCCTGGGGCGGGGCCAATTTTGACCCCAGGGCTTTTATTTGAACAAACGTGGTAGACATTCACTAAAAGATGTTTCATGCCAAATATCTAAGCTCTAGCTCTTACAGTTCTTTAAAAGAAGATTTTTTAAGTTTTTACTATATGCATATAGGGAAAATCAATGACCCCCGGGGCGGGGCCAATTTTGACCCCAGGGCTTTTATTTGAACAAACTTGGTAGACACTCACTAGAAGATGTTTCATGCCAAATATCTTAGCTCTAGCTCTTTGGGTTCTTTAAAAGAAGATTTTTTAAGTTTTTACTATATGCATATAGGGAAAATCAATGACCCCCCGGGGCGGGGCCAATTTTGACCCCAGGGCTTTTATTTGAACAAACTTGGTAGACACTCACTAGAAGATGTTTCATGCCAAATATCTTAGCTCTAGCTCTTACGGTTCTTTAAAAGAAGATTTTTTAAGTTTTTACTATATGCATATAGGGAAAAATCAATGACCCCCTGGGGCGGGGCCAATTTTGACCCGAGGGCTTTTATTTGAACAAATTTGGTAGACACTCATTAGAAGATGTTTCATGCCAAATATCTAAGCTCTAGCTCTTAGGGTTGTTTAAAAGAAGATATTTAAAGATTTTTCTTTCGGTTGCCATGGCAACCAGAGTTCTGCATGGAATTAAATTCTTTGAACAATTTTTGAAGGTGACCACCAAAGGAACATTCCTGTGAAGTTTGGATGAAATTGGCTCAGTGGTTTATGAGGAGATGTCATTTAAAGCAAAAGTTTACGGACGGACGACGGACGGACGGACGGACGCCGGACGAAAAGCGATCACAAAAGCTCACCCTGTCACTTTGTGACAGGTGAGCTAAAAATGAAAATAAACAAAGGGCAATAACTCAAAAAATAAGAAATGCAGAGTACCAGTTCTTGTGCACTGCACTTCTTCTTAATGAGACCTATCATCCTATAAAGTTTCAAGTCCATGGCTTTTATACATTAGGAGAAATGGCCCGGACAAAAATAAAGTATGAAAATTAACAAAGGGCAATAACTCAAAAATTAGGAAGTGCAGAGTACTGGTTTTTGTGCACTGCATTTCTTCTTAATGAGATCTATCATCCTATGAAGTTTCAAGTCTATAGCTTTTTTAGTTGAAGAGAAATGGCCCGGACAAAATTAAAGTATGAAAATTAACAAAGGGCAATAACTCAAAAAATAAGAACTGCAGAGTACCGGTCCTTGTGCACTGCACTTCGGGTTATTGAAAGAAGCATGCATACCAAGTTTGAAGTCAATCAGACTTATAGTGACTGAGTTATGCTCCGGACAAGCTTTAGCGGACGCCGACGCCGACACAGACGCCGCCGCCGCCGACACCGCCGACAAAAGTAACCCCTATATGTCACCTTTTTAAGGCGACACAAAAAGGGGCATAATTCTGTCAATATTGTAGGCAGAGATATCCAACTTGTCAATCTGATGTACATTGTTATTATAAATAAGTATTGTAAGTTTAAATTGAACATCTCAAGCATTAATTGAGAAATTTGACTTTACAAAAAACTTTAACCAACGCAGACGCGGACGCCGGGGCGACTACAATAGCTCTCATATTCTTTGAATATTCGAGCTTAAAAAAACGCCCAAAATACAATTTGTGGAATAGTAGCTTAATAGTACTAGTTAATTGTAGCTAGTACCAGTATTTTTGTACCTCACCATCCAAGAATCTTCCAATCATGTTTCATCAATATCTGCTCAACAGTTAATGAGGATGCCATTAAAATCTTTCTTCTTTCTATAGTTCTGAGTCTGACAGTCATCATGTGTGGAAAAATTCACTAGGATACTCCTTTTGGAGTTTAATTAAAATGTGATAAACATTTCAAGAAAAGATGTCATATAAATCTAATTTAAATCTTTTAACTTTGGCACCCATCTTGTCCTGCAGACTGGTTAAAATTTTATGCTTCTTGTATCAACAAAAGATCATTTCTAAATTCTTTTAGCTGAAATCAAAACTTGCAAGTCGAATAATAATAGAACATTTAATGTTTTTTTTCCTCCTCTATTCTTTTTGTTTTTAAAAGCATTAAAAATCTTATTTCTAGTGTCTTATGTAGTTGTAGGCATCAAGGTTTCATTGTGCTACATTTACCAGGATATAAGCCTACATGTATATAATAAAGGTTCCCTTTAAAACAGAGCCAAATTTGAAAATGGGAAACAACTTAAAATGACTTTTGTTGAGGTCCAACAAGCAATGCTAAGTTACTGGGCATGTACATGTAGTTATTGACGAGAAGATTTAAAATCTTTCCTGTAAAAGAAGTTACCATCATGGCATAATAAGTTTACCATATAAACTCCAGTCCATATGGCACTTATATAAGCTTTGAGCATTGCAGTTTCTGTGATTTGTTGCTCCTGTGTCTCAGGCTAAAACCATTCCATTACTTTTATACTAGGGCACCAAAGCTGGGCCAAAATCTTAAGTTTTGAAAAGTTTAACCATTATCTTCCTGACAGAAACTGATTCTAACCATGTGAATAGAGCATCTGGCTGTCTAATCATAGTCTGCACTTTTTGCTTTACAGTCTGTCGGACTTATTTCAATGAATAGTTTTGTTCAAATGGAAAATTGGACAATTTCTTTTAAGATATTACAATGTAAGTGAGGTAAGGGTTAAAGAAATTGTTCATAACTATGAACAGCAAACAACAGACATCAAGCAACCACAGAATCAAAGTTCATTTTTAAGCATTTTGCACTAGGGTGAACAAAGAACAAAGATGCTTATATTCTATATAATATGAAAGGGAGGTAACTTACCATTATTTCCAATTTCTTCTGGTGATTTACTTGCTAATCTTGGATCTAACCAATGTGTCTGTTCTGTGTTATGACTATAACAAAAATACAATGAATCAATTTATAAGTAGGTTAAAACATAGCATTTCAATTTTAATTGAGTATAAAAAGACTATTTTCACAACTTTCTGAATATCATTTATGATTAATAACGGTGGATTTGATGAAATATTTACTGTTACATGTTTTATTTGGGAATTTAAGAAACAAGGGGTTAACAGTGGCCCTGTAAATATAAATTTTTGAAAAAAAATGGTTAGTTTCATCTTTTTATATTTTTTTTCCAAATGTACCAACTATCCAATCGTTTAAATACTGGCAACAAATAAATCAAGACAGAAATCTTACTCAATAAAATATGGATGACCATCATCAGTAAATGCCATTTCCCAGTTTGGTGGAAGTGGACCCAGATTGTCCACCCAGTCTGGCTGTTCTGATGACTTCCCTCGTGGAGGGGGATCTGGTAAAATCTTTCTTGGTGTAGCAGGTGATTTAGGCGTTAAATCTGTATTACTACGGTATCTTCGCCTCTTCCCATCAGAGGGATGAGCCCCAGGTAGTATACTACCGATAGAACTTGTCCGGCGAGGTATTTGACCTTGTGGATCTTTTGGTGGTTTTGGTGTTCCATACATATTTCCTACAGAAGAAACAAAAAAAATTAATCATTACTATATAAACAATAGGACTGTTTAATCTGATTGAAGACAGTCATTAAATGATGTTCAAACAAATATTATCTCTATAGCAAAATATTTAAAACAAGTGGCCTTGACATTAACCTTTGGGACTTAAATCTAAGATCTTTATCAAGATAGTATGAGTCTTGCTAATTTTGATTTGACCTTCACCTCCATTATTAGTATTGCCTTTATACCAAATACAACTACAAAAAGGATCTACGGACAAAAGTAAAACAACAGTACTAAATAAATTTGGAGTCATTACACTTATTGACACAAAGCCCACAAAACTGAGCCGGGTCAAGCACAATATACAAGTTGTAGTAAAGGACATTCCTTCCAGATAAATGCAAATTTATGCTAAAATTATCAAATCATGACACCAATTAGACGAGTAGTGAACATTATTTTAAATATCTAAGCAAAGCTTATTGTGAAATATACATGTAATGCTATCCATCTGTTCTAAGATAAGGCTCCAGATGCACAGTTACAAAAACTATCCATCCTTAAAAAAATATTAAGTGGAAGATAAGTCAAAATTGCTTTAAATGTTTCTGACCATGCAAAGATCTAATAAATCCTATGAAACAGTTTTCGCTGCATGAATACTCTGGCAAACATCTTAAAGTACACTAGGCAATTCTTCACTTCATACACAATATCTGTGCTCTTGCAGAAGTTGGAAAAGTTTTTCCTCTGTAAGTCTAAACATGACCAAGCAAGCAGAAGTTCAAAATGTCTTCAAACTTGTTTCATTTTGTTTAGTGCATTTTCTGGTACATGACCACCTTTGGACCAGATTAATTTAGTCCAGAGGGGCATCACTTTTACCATCTTTGTACAGGACAAATAGGTAATGCTTCAAACAAAATACACTGCCATTCTGTTACAACGTGCCCTGTTATTTTTGAGACCTTGGACCCCAACATGAGCATTATAACAGGGTTGCAGTGTATATCTAAGCCTCTTAGTTTTAGACAGAAGATTTCATTTTCTAAATCTATTTATAACTTCAATTGCTTCCTTATTCACCAGACTACATGTAGAAACATTCATTAAACTTTTGGGTGATGTACTTTTAAAAATGGATACCAGGTGATCACAAAACTGACTTTCAAGCACAGCACAGCTGCACTTAGACAAGAAAAAATCTAAAAATTGTACACACCATCAAATATTCCACTCTCCAGTAGACTGCCACTCTTCTCTAGCTCCTGAAAATCTTTCTCACTAAGGAATGTATAGTCAACACCATTAACTTCACCTGGTCTAGGTTCACGTGTAGTACCTGCATCATAAATGGGTAAAATTTAAAATACAACTAAAATCTAATACAAAGAATTTCCTCAAAGCTTTATGAATTTATAAAGTGCCTTGCAATAAAAAGCATGCATCAAATCAGAACCACCAAAGGACCATCTTCTGGTCATTGTACTTTCTGAGGAAACATTTTTTTTTTACTTAACATGTGGTGAAAGTGACCACACAGACAGGGTAATAAATGATACCAGGGGCATGATCTATGAGGCTTTTGAAAAGGTTCATAAGGCAATGCTAGAAAGCAAATATTTAATAAAACATGTCAAATTAACTTAATTTAAGAGGCACAAGGCTTTTTAAAGATTTCACTTCATAAATCGATTTTTAGCTCCTATGGCTAACAGAATCAGACTGAAAAATATATATAATGTTTTCAAAGGGTGACCATCACCTAAGGATCATTTCTGAGAAATTTGGTCAAAATGTACAAAGTACTTAAAGTTACATTAAATAAATATGTAAAAATATTTTGCCGTCGGCCTAAAAATCAAACATTCTACAGTTTCATTAACCTGTTTAATAGTTTTGTTGTAAATCTCATCAAATATTGTTCATAAATTAGGATTTTAAACGGGAAACCCCACGGTAACACTAAAATTCGTATACGAATTTTAACATGCAAATGAAGACTATAATGAGCTCGTGTATGCGCTACGTCACAATTTTATAGTTGCTATCCGGAACACAGCAAATGTGATATTTTCTTGTGCAAACACACTTTAACCGTTTAACTTTAAGCTTCACGGTGCACTAAACCTGGGGTTCAGTAAAAGTAATCATCTCATAAAAAGATTAAATTTGTATGAAAACATCCGTTACAATGCGGAAATATACCGTTAAATTAGGACTGCCACTTATAGTCATGTTTGTTAATATAATATTGATGTACGGATGATCCGAAGGCGGAGTTTCTCATGCAAACAGAAATTGTACTTCCTATTTCGCCACAATGAGGTTACCTATTTTTATGCTAATAAAACTAATTTTGGTTGTTTGGACACCAAAATAAGACCTGAAGTCGATATAAAACCCAATTTATTAATGAAATGTCGCTATTTAGTTTTTTTATGAAATTTATTAAATGTAACTTTAAGGAGATATTGTTTGGAAAATTATAGATAACAACTGATGAAAAACATCATACTATCAATCAAAATGTGCTCAGATGAACTACATTATAAATGTAAGAAAGACAACAATGTATTTGTTTGGATTCTTTGTAGAAAATTTCCTCAACTTTCCTGTGACAGAGAATTGCATGTTTATACAACTGTAAGCAATAGGTGCCAATCAAAGTTCTCAGTACATGTATGCACTGATAGCCACTTATTGAGTGGCTGTTATTAACTAAGAACTGTGTCATGATGAGTCTGGTATATGTAGCAGTATGTCACATGACCCACATATTCAGCATGGAAATTGAAATGACACTGCACTAATGTTTTATGATCTAATTTTAGGGGGGGGGCACAAGTAGATATATTATCTAATAAACAGTCTTTTAAAATTACACGAATACTTACATGGCACAGTACGGAGGTAGAGATTATCACGTATCGTCTGTTGCTGGTCATGATCAATTGAGCCTTTAGGAAAACGAGAACCTAAATAATGTCTCAAGTCTTTTGGTAATTGCCCTGAAATCATTAAAAACATATACATATACATATGACTGTACAAAAATTATCCTCTCAGTTAATCAAAATCAACTAGAAATATGTCTATAGGACATGAATGCCCCTAAATAAATTTCACTGTACTGCAGGAGACAAGGGCAAATCTATAATGCACCCCTTAGGGGCATAAATCTGTTCTAAACAAAGTTTACAATGTTCATGTTGTAGCCATGCAAATTTTTTTAAGTATTAATTATTGATATGAACATGTGACTTCAGAAGATGCATTAATTAGGACTTTGCAAACCTTGAAAATCATGAATTTATATCTTTGTTTATTAAGTGTACTACATGTCTTAATTTATGTCCTCTTATCCAAAATTGGCAATTCAGCTAATGTGTAATCACCGGACAAGAATCTAGATGAAAAGGGGGCTTGGTATGGTCTCGACAGAGGCAAGTTGCCCACACCTTCAATGATTTCCACCTGTGTAGTATTTTTCAACGAATGTGGAATCATTTCCAAATCTAGGTATCACATTTACAAATCAGTGATTGTTCTAGGTATACAACAACCCATGCACACAATAATTTGAATAAATATATTGACACCTTAGTGCAGTGATTGGTTTATTCCTAATCGTATTGTTTCATAATGGGCAATAACCCCTTACTGCACTAAGGCAACAATATTTTTTTCAGGCCAAGCGCAATCATTTCCAGAACATTACTTTGTTAACAGCTTTGCAGATTACAAAAAATGCATGGGTATCTACTAAAGTACTATCTACCAATACAATATTATAAGGTTCTTATTGTATCTATAGGTAGATACCCATGCATTTTTTCGATTTGCTTTGCAATAAAATTGTACTTTTGATTGTGCATACAATTTTCTGCTTATCATTTAATACATGTGCCTGTGGCAACAAAGTAGAAAACAAGCTGTACTTATTACCTTTGGAATCCTTTAAGTCTAAATTTAGCTTTTAGCAGCTATTTTTGTTTGTTTGTTTCATTTTACGCCTTTTCCCAACATTATTTCAGTCATATAGTCGGGTAGTTTCCTAACCATCATTCCTGGATAGGTACACCAGTACTAGACTACCTTCCTCCGCGCTAAACTACCAAGCATCTCCCGGGGATCGAACCCACGCCAGAGAGGTAATAGCAGCTATTTAACAATAGAAATGTATACACTACTTAGATTCAAAAATTTGGTTAACAAACATAGCGATGAAATGTCTTAGCGTTAGATAAATGAATGACCTAGTTGAAACATTTTGCAGAGTTCTCTATGACACAATAAAGGCACTGGTCAGCTGGTAAAGTTAAAACTCGGCCACATATAAAATTTTGTTTTCTTTATCTGTAAAAATTAATTGTCTTTAATTTTGTGACAATAAATTATAATAACATACAAACATTATTTCATAATATTCGACAAAAAATAAAAAAAACAAAAACAACAATGCATCTATATAGACAAATAGTAAAACAAATATGGGCCGAGTTGACTTGTTTGGTGTTAGTATAGTGCCAAAATGACTCTGAGGCGTTAGTTTTGGGACTGAGTGGTCACTTATTACTATAAAGTATAATATGACTCACTTTTCAAAAGTTAATAATACATAGAGGATATTGAATGAGTGTAGGTTTAATACTAAATTTATTGAACGAGTTGAATAAAATCATATTATGTGAGCCTCTGGCGAGCATAAATTAATATTATTTTATTCAACGAGTTTAATAAATTTAGTATTGAATCTACACAAATATAATATTCTATTTATCACATTATATATAAAAATTAAAATAAGAACAGTAAACTGTTAACAAGAGTCATTTTTCTTTGACACGCCTATAGTGTAACGCTAACATTAGCGCGCTTTAACTGTTTAAGGCTATGTTTATAGTGCAAATTACGTGACGTCAAAGTGTTATTACACTAGTGTAATATCGTCTAGTGTAATATCGTTTTTTTTAAATGGCTTTATTACACTCCTGCGCCACGGTTTATGTGATAAAACTCAATATAATCATACCTGGTCTGACAGATTTTATCATCACAGGTGCCCCATTTTGACTGACTTGTTTAAGCCAGATAAGAGCATCTCTTAATGTATAACCAGCAATTCTTTGCCCTTGAATCTCAAGAACAATATTACCAGCCTCCAATCTACCGCTGTGGTATGTTATTTTATCATGTTCTACATCATCTAAATACAGAAAATATCCATTGTCTGCACCCCCAAGTAATGTAACATGAAGGGCTTCATCTGGGAGTGCAGATACAAGCGTTTCCTGTACATGTAAACTCCAATGATTTGGATCGGTTAATGGTTCCCTTTCCTTGTCTCGACCCACACTGCGATCTCTGACAGGTTTTGCAGCTGGAATCGGAGGGGGTTGTTTGTTCTTCAGCATAGTTATTTTCACATCATTGTCAGTAAGAACACAAACACTGCAGCAATCACATTTATATAGAATCACATCATCGCACAAACACAGCCTTTAATAACATGCACAAGAGTAGGTATAAAAACTTGTCAAAACTTTCTGTCGGACGTATAATTATTTTCAGATATTTTTCAGATTTGAACATAGTTTGCACAAGATTTGGCCATTAGAATGAGCATTAATCTAATGGCTAGTATAAAGCATTGCATGAACTATCATCTCCACCTAGGCAATATCGCAATAATGTCTCTTATATTCAAAACATTAACATATCTTCCGCCCTGTTTTGAAAATTGTAGCAAGAAACTCCATTTTTACGCATGCGCAATAACCGCCGGATGTACCTAAAGATCGACGCCGACAATTATTCTACGTCCCTTACTGGCCACCAAAATCTAATTTGTTATAAATTATTTTATGAACACAGTAAACTTATTTATATATGGGAGAAAAGCGAAACAATATATGAAAAACACGGCCAAATTTAAACTGGTATAAAAATAAAAATCAAACTTCAAACTCATAAAAGTTTTTATTTTTTGTTGTTTAAATTTGAACTTATTTTTTCAGTAAATAAACTTACAAGCAAGTCAGTGTTGTATGTCTATCCCTTGTTACATGAGTAAGTTAAATAAAAAACATAGCAGGTTTTGAATAAATAAATAAATAGATAAATAAATGAATAATGAATAAATAAATAAATAAATGAATGAATGAATGAATGAATGAATGAATGAATGAATGAATGAATGAATGAATGAATGAATGAATGAATGAATAAATGAATGAATGAATGAATGAATGAAATACGGCAGCATAAACGCATATAAAGAAGTTTCTACTTCATTGGCTTATTGAACTTCCAAAGTTCATATTGAAAAACAAAAGTTATAACGAACTAGAAGCTCGAGTTTTTCATTAAAGTTAGACAGCGTTTATTACATAGACAGAATAACAGTTTTTATAAAGTACAAAAATGTAGGCCAAATGATGTTTTATTTCCGGCCATTTAAAACTCGTTCAACAAAATACAATTGTTGTGTTTGTAGTTGTTTGTAGTTTTTTATTATTATTATTATTATTATTATTATTATTATTATTATTATTATTATTATTATTATTATTATTATTATTATGGTATTTTTCTTTTTAGGTTGTTCCATAATAATGGATATCACCCTTGGAATATGTTACCTGCTTCTTTACGTATGATTGCGATATTTAGGTTTCATTACACCCGGATCTCTTTCGAAATTCTATCTTATTTTGTACAGTACATTGTTGTTGTTTTTTTCGTTTAGGGCTTACACATTCATTTCTTGGGGACCAAACACCGCTTTTCATTGAATAGCACGCGGATGTCGCAATGAAGGTCCCACAAAAACCGGCGCATGAACACATCTGCAGATGTTTTAAAATTCCCAACCCGCCATTGCCACATGCAATTGTTAAATACTGCTGAAGCAGACTAAGAGTGACCGTCCAGATCAAAACGAGGTTGCAACATTTTCGATTCTGCCGTTTTGGGCATAGTTAAAGAGATTCATTTCTTTCTATTTTGATGTGAAATAAAATGTACTATGTAAATGGAAGCGGTTCATATAATCATCCGAAGTATCATTTTAATGAGATAAGTATAAATCAAGATACAAAACAAAAAAAAAATGAAAAAAAAATGACCCAATTAAGTTTAAAATCAAGTATGATTCGACATATTTTGTAATATTGTCGGACAAATTATTTGATCGATCTTCAAGAATTGTATTTGATTCGACACAAGCTTGCCTTGGATTATACTACCAGTATATCTCAAATTATCTCCCTAACATGTACTACGGAGCTGTGTTGGAGCACATTTGTCTCGGAGCACATACGTCTCACGAGATGTGAGCGATGTGCTTGTAATCATTCATATCTGCAATAAGTTGGAAATGAGACGAATGTGTTCTACATACAATAGGAAGGAGACTAGGAACACATTTATCTCACATTCTATCATATCTTACTAAAATTCTACTTAATCTGCTATGTATATTGTACAATTGTCCTATATGTTGGCTGCATATCTGTCTTACTTTCCGTCTGTGCACATTTACAACGGTGAACCTAAAAATAAATTTCAGATAGCAGACCTACTTACAGATGTATTATAAACTACTTATAATATGGAGTCAACGTTACAAGATTAACCTTTTCCCTGATATAGACGTTTTTTGACGGCTTTTTGCCCCCAAATGTTACATCAGGGCGTTGCCAGAAGGGGGATATGCCCCCTTCTGTTTGGGGGGTTTGAAGGGGGGCGGTAGTCCCCCTCATCGCCGAGAAAATTTTGGACATGTGACAGGCTAAAAATGGCCTCGGGTCGATCTGAGGGTAACTGAAAAGCCTTTTACTCTCTCTCAATTCTTTGAGAAGTTGCAGCACTTTGAAATCAGTTTTGATGGGAAAAAAACAATGCAAAAATAGTGATTTTTGGCAATTTTGAGACGTCCCCCCGTTGCCATGGTAACAATAAATTTACGATTGAGCATGCCGTTACAGAGGCTATGGTCTAGTCAACATTTGTGCCAAGTTTCATCAGTATTGAAGCATTTTTCATAGTTTCATAGCAGTTTGAACTTGTTACAGGAGGCTTTTCAATGAAAACGGCCATTTTTCGCAATATGCTCATGAGGTAAAAGGTAAAGAAACCGATGACATCGCTGCCAGTCCTACGTACAGTTCGGTTTATTATCACGCTAGTTTTTTCTGTACGAAATCTGCTGTGGTCATAGTATTATTTTTTACAATAGGTTAATCTCTTAGATTTGGTTTGCTAAATTGCTAATCATGGTCATGCAACTACATAGTTAGGTGAAGAAGCAGGCGCTTGTTTTGGTTGAGTCTATTATGTTTTGTTTAGGGGGTTGAGTTGTCATACACAAATTTACAATTTATATGCATTCATTTTTTTCCAATGATTGTTATTATCTTAAATGCTTCTGGGATTGTTGTTTTATCAATTCATTTGTAAATAAGATTGTTATATGTCTTTTAACGGAATAATTTTAATGAACACGGAATTAGTTCACACCTATACATGTGTATTGGTAACGTGATGGTTTAAGCCAATGAAAACACGTCAATATTATTATACTCAGGCAGAGAAAAAGTGTGCAAAGAGTAAATCGATAATCTTTATGTAGCCAGCAAACTTTGAATTGCAAGTATTTTTTCATATCTTTTCGGCAGGATAAACTGTCCGAGGATTCGTATCGTAAAATGGCTGCCATTTACAGTATCAAGTGATTATCCCAAGCACCACCGCGACTTAGCGCGGGAATTTTAATTATAGCTAACCTCGGCGCGTATACCTTTTTCATATTTTATTGTAATAAATATTTACAAACTGTGTCTTTCGGGTTTTTTTTATCAATATATAACCAATAATGATGTTAATATGAATAAATAATCATATCTCAAATCTTTGACTATGATTTACAATGAAATTCTACCTTAAGTGTATTAAAAAGGTTTTTAATTTCCTGTAATTTTATTTTGTGATTATGCTTCAAAGCAGTCAATTGACCGTGAATTTTCTTTTCATATTTTGATTTCCTTGAAATCATTTTTCTCATCTGAAGGCATGCAACTTTAATATGGTGATACATTAATTACATTCCATGAAAATGTTTAAAGATATAAAATATCTCATGACATGTTTGTTCATTTTACATTACACCTTTAATTCAGCAAACATAAAGTCTTCACAAAAAGCAGTATGCAATCGTACCTATATTACATACGAATGTATGTAATATTTTTCTTGTTTATAAATATTTCATTTGCTTATCAATTCTTCTTTTAGCGTATGCGATAGGTATTCCACATTTAGACCCTGAAAGGGTTTCCTCGCATGAAAGAATTCGACGCACTGAGTGAGGATCACACTTATAGAAATTATAGAAAGTAAAACTGTTGTTTTTTTGTGATTTTTTTTTAGGTCACAACCACGGAGCCACATAGAAAATGAGTAGACCATCCCGCACGTATTTTGTTGTCATCAGTAATATAAAAGTAAACAATTTGATTGCTGCTCTCAGATTGCCATTGAAAAAGCACTTAAAATAGTGCGTCAATACCCAAAAGAATCCATGTAATGCAATAACTATGGAATATTAGGCTTTGCAGACTCAGGCGAGATGCGACATTCCGACAAGATACGAAGCAAGGCATGACATTGTAACATGAGATCTCGCAATGTCACATTATCCAATGTCACGAGATTTTGAGGTAGAATATCGTGTCTTACTTCATGTTTTTCCAAATGTTGTCCGATTCTCGCCTATCGCAACCCTTCGACCTGATATCGTGCCTCGATTTGTGTCAAGAGAATCGATCGGGACTCGATTCGTGTCTCGCCCAATTATCGCGACAAAAAGCGAGGCACGATCCTGGCGTGTTTGGTCTATCGAGGTATACCATTATTTTTACATGTTGTAACCGTTTTCTGTTTATATCCTTGCGTAAACATGACGGTAACTTGCACTTTCCATTACCGCCCATGAACAGGCTCAATCAAACCGAGCTTGCAACATTAACAATTTTGTCGTTTTGTGGGTTCTTTAGGGATTCTGTTTTTCTCTCCATTCTACTGATACATGCATATGCAGTGAAAATTACTTTAACGTCGTCTTATTGATAAAGTTTGAGAATCGGGCAGCATAGTACGTATCGTACCTCTCTTTAAATCGGACAAACTTTGAACGATATGATTTATTGCACGTGTTACTTCGCATTTCATCGTAATCTCACGTCTCGCTTTGCCTCCACGAGAATCCGGCGAGCGAAGAAAAAACGAAGCCAGATACCATGCATATTCTAACGCGAATTCTCTTTGTATGGGGTGAATCTGCGACAGTGCGAGATCTCGTATTACAATATTATGTATGTGGTGTTGTTAACAAATGCGCTTGTGTTTCATTAAAAACGACATCAGTCAATGTGCTTTCTTGTCCCTTAAAAAAGTTGTTTGGAGCACATTTGTCACACATATGTTTTCTAATTAGACATTTCATGTCCCATTTGTCTCATGTAAATGCGACCGCATCGGTAGGTCGTAAGACAAATGTGTACAAAACTTATACCACATGTAAACAACACCATGCACAAAATATGCAAAGTTTTAAGTCAATCTGCGTATATCATAATTTACCCTACGTTACAACATTACATAGCTCTTTATCATAGCTACTATGTCATTTATCATTTGTATTAAATTAGTCATTCCTGAGTGTCTGTAAAGGAATGTAATATATAACTATCAATGACTCCCCCAAAACTATTAATTTATATAAAAA